CTAGGACACCAGAATCTCTTATTTAACCATGAGGAAATTCTTGTGTGTTGATAAAATATACAGAACAAAGAAAATTGTAGCTCCACGTTCAAATAGCCAATATACGACATGAGAAAAGGAAAAGCACACAGTTAATACACATAAGATGTCAGATTTGCTCTTAGTTACACAGGTACCACTTTGGCCAAGACAAATATTCCTGTTAGGTGTAAGAAATCACAGAAGCTGCTGCAATTATAAGAACACCTGAATGGCTTCACGTGGACTGCTGCTGTTTTCTTTTAAAGGTTGAAAAATCTTTGAAGCACAACCCAGACCAGCTATAGAGAGAGCTGAACTGGAGGAAGCACATTCTCCTAGAGGTCAAATAAAAGTGAGGGCCATGACACTACAAAAGAGACTTCTCAGAGAGGTGTTGTGCAGTCTCAGCAGCTGAGACAAGAAGTGGGTGCCTCCTTAATCTGTCAGTGATATTTTTCCAGCCACAGTGCTGTGCAAGTGGGACAAAATAGTCATATACGGATAAGGCACACATGGAAAGTAAAGTTAACTTGGGGTGGTAGGAGGAAGTGAATCATTTATAGATGTTTTGGAGAGTTTACAAAGTACAGAGATTTATTTATAAAGTCTAAAGGAGACTATGGGAGTCTACAATGTGATCTGTAAATTACAGGGAAGTGTATTAAACCCTGAACTAAAGCTGCTATACTCAAACACAACACAGCCTGTGTTTGGCTAGCCTGTGTTTGCCAGGGAGGCATTGGGTCTCAATCTGAAAACACCCAGAGCCAAGTAATCAATGATGGCCCTTAACTATTCCAAGGAATACTTATTGTCAGTACTGAACTAGATACTGAAAATGATTTTATTTTGCTTGATTCCAGCTACTAGACATTATTCCTTCTTATTTCAGTCTGGTAGGTTCAAATGTCCCTTACATTCAACATTCTTTTTGCGCATTTATGTATACAGTTACTGACTCACCTTTCAATCTTTTTGATTCATTGGGTAAGTTAAGGTTTTTAGTTCTTCAATTACATGACATTTTCTCTGACTCCTGATCATTCTCTAGCTCTTCTCTATACTCACTTTGTTTTTTCAGTATCCATCTTGCAATGTGAGCATCAGAACCGTGTGCACCAGTGGGCCATACACTTTACACATACAGGTAAAAATTGTTGCCATTAACAGCTGTGCTCCGCTTGTAAGTCAAGGTTTGCTACAGCAAAAAAAAAAAATCCTTTGTGCTACAGCAAATTCATCAGCTTACTCAGCCTGGCCTTTTTCAACTTTTCCATTGTGTAGGAGAGCCTACATTCCTTATTAGGTATATATCAATAGATTTTATTAAAACATACTTTGAATGAAACCCAGTTTATAAAATTCCTCTGTCTTTGCCTGAAGTAATTTTTATATCTATTTTTAACAGCCTTTAAATAGGCTGTAGAGACTGTTATTGTGGTATGTTTTCTGACACCATAACAATTCTTGATATTTCAGATACAGCTGATCAGAAATGCTGGCAGAGACAGCCACCGGCACATCTGAGTGTATTATTCTAGGGCTGCACTCATCTGCATGTGAGAGCAAAGCTGGCAATCTCAGTTTTCCTGGTTAAGAAATGGAAATTGAAAAACAGAAAAAAGGACTTTAGTCCCACGGTTTTCAAATCAATCTCTTCATGTCAGTGCAAGACTCATGAGTCCTGAATAATTGAATTTGACAGTATTCCTAAAGGGCACAATAGCACGAAGAGATGTGTCTCAACCTGGTGCCAAAGAGAGCAAACTTCTGCCATAGACTCGTTGTGCTAACAAAGAGTAATTAGAAGTAGGAAAGCACGTGCCATTTAGGCTAATGAAAACTGAATAGTACATTTAACAGTCTCTACTGTCATTAAAATTGAATTTTGTCTACGTTTATATATGTATACTTCTAATACTGACAGGGCAATAACTGCTTTTATTTGCTTATTTCTAAATAGCTTCTGACTTCGAATTCTAAGTTTCTAATTTATGAACAGATATTCTTGGCAGCAAGGGGATGTTAAAGATCTCCTGCCTCTGTTTGTGCTGGATAAAATTCATAAATTACCTCCCCGGATCTTGCTTATTGTGTTTCTAAGGCTGGAGGATAGCACAAACAGGGAGGCTTCTAGTTTAATCGACCTAGGAAGTGGTTAATAGATGTGCTCTAGTGTCAGCACAGATTCCTTTAGGCCTGTCAGCAGACAGAAAAAGTTTGATTCAGCAGCAGATTCTGGCAGCACTGGATGCAATCACACAGCATGTTTGGATCCTTTCTTGGCGAGCTCCCAGATGTGGGTTTTGGCGATTGCTTGTCAGCCAGAGGGAACATTCTGCATGGGCCTGGCTCGTCATTTGGCTTCTCATCCTTCATTTCCAACCTAGAGATAAAGCCACAAGAGAAGGCAGTGCAGCAGTTTGGCTCACAGAGCATTAGATGTGCTACTTTGTCATTTTTAGTTGATGCAATTTCTTCTCTTTCCTTCTGAGAAGTTCCTGCCGTGGTGCAGGGTTGGAGCTGGATGCTCAGTGTTGAATGAGAAGATGGAGCCTTCTCTGCCCCACGAGTGAACAAAAGAGTTTCTGCTTATCCAAGACAACAGCAAAGATGGAGTGTCTGATGCTACAGCAAAGGCACAGAAGCTGTGCAGATGCAGAGCAGAAGCTATACCTTTACTTTTTCTATAATCAATCAAAACAGAGTGAAGTAAGCTAAATAAGGTAGTTAAGCAAGTACTGAGGAAATAGAGTGGAAATGGCACATATAATTGATTTCTCTCCTGTGAAGATGTACATGGAGAAAAACATTGATGAAGAGGTGACTTTTGAGAAGATATGAGAAGAGTAATATCCAATTTGACTTAACTTCCTCCTTAAACAGAGGAGAAATAAGAAGGTAAAAAGACATAAATGAAGGCAAGCATCAAGTTCGGCATTTCTGGTAGGCTAAAAAGAGTGGGGCAATAAATTAAGAAACAGTATGAGATTATAGTATAAAGGCCAGTTATGCTCATGGGAAAAAAAAAATGATATGATGGAGAACCAGAATCACTAGAAGAATGACATGAGAGAGCACAACATATTTGAATCAATAAGAAAGGAGAAAATGGAGAGGAGCTAATGATCAAGCTAGATAAATGACCTGGGTCTAAATGAAAATAATTTTAGGTGTTGAAACCAAGATAAATTGAGACATTGCAGGGAAAGAAACCACAGCTAGACAGGGTCTTGATAAGAAGATATAAAGAAAGCAGATTTCTTGCGTGTGAAAGTGCAACTGAAGTGATGAGGAGGAGGTTGGTCTGCATAAGACTGACAGAGAAGTGCCAATAATGGGAGCTGTACAGAAAAGGAGGTGATTTGGTATTCCACATGAGGGCAACTCCAAGGCAGGGAGGCCAAGGAAGTTGGATTAAACTTTGACCTGGCCAGGAGGCAGCAGAGCTAAGTATGCAACCTGTAAATAATCAGCAGCTATTTTGCAAGTATTAACTGGCAAATAGAATTCCTAGTTCAACAGTATTCAGAAATGGCTGTAGGTAAGATTGTCCCAAGAGGTTAATTTAGAATGATGTTGCTTGTCAATAGCATTAGGACAAACCTGTATTCATGAATGCTTATGGTGCCTCTGAACTTCTGTAAGTGGATATAAGAACAAAGAGAATTTGGCCTCCATTATTTTGTCATTATACCTCATTTCATTAATGTTTTGTATAATCTGCTTTTAAATACAGTCACACTTAACTAAAATTATTGAGCTGGCACACTTCACTAAATCACAAGCTGCAGTACTGACTTCTTAGAGCCCTAAACAGAAAGTGCAAATGAGAACAACTCTTAGAAAAGAAGAACCCACACATCAAACCAAAACCTGCTAAAACCAACAAAGCAGCTCAGCAACTCATCTCAGTGTCCTCCTCGTAAAATGTGTAATAGGAAGCACAACTTAACAAAAGTAGAAGAACCTGTTTCTGCATTTGACAATTTGTTAACCCAAGTACAGCTTTATAGCAAGTAAAGCCAAGCTAGAACCCTTGCAAACTTTGACAACCCCAGGCTTAGTTGTTATTTACCAAGGGCTACATTTACAGATCTCTGCCTGAAATATGCAATAAACAAGATTATTTCAGTTCATATTCTAGTGAACAAGAGATATATGCATTATCAAGTGCAGTGGAGCTACTCTTCAACAACAGTAATATTATTTTGTCTTTAAAAAAAGAAGAAATATTGACCAAAAATGAGTAATATACAGGAAGTGCTAAATTCTTTCATTTACAAACATACAACTGCATCAGTTTCAATAAAATCCAACTACTCCAAACATCAGGAAACCTCACAGTGAATAGTTTCAATAGTTCCTCCAAATCCTACTCATTGCTGGACAGCAGCTACAGCCGTGACCGGAGCCAAGATAGAAATTTAATGTTGAATTCTGCGCGATCTTTTTTGTTGTGTAATCAGGCAGTACGGCAGAGCTGCAAGCCAAGCTGTTCCCCCGTTACAATGGTGTAGGTGGAGCCACTCCTTGGCCTCTGGGACGTTTTACTGGATTTATAGCGCAGCTATAGAGAGCAAGAATTTACTGGGGACGTGGGGTTGGGCTGTTCCGCAACAACCACACGTAGGACACGAAGCCTGAGGGAGGAACGCCGCTGTGGGGCCTGGAGCGCGGCGGGCAGCGCCGCCCCGCGCGGGGCCGGGATTGGGCCCGGGGGCACAGGCCGCGCCCCGCTGCTCCGGGCGGGCCCCGCCGCTGCGGCCAATGGCAGCGCGCCCTTCCCCGCCCGGCGCCGCCATTGGCCGGGGCCGCCGCTTCCGCCGAGGGCCGGGATTGGCGGCGGCGCGCGGGCGCGAAAGGCGGCGGCAGCGAAACCCCGGCGCGCGCCGGTGTCCGTGTGAGTGCCCGTCCGCGCGCGCGTGTCCCCCGCTCCTTCCCCCTCCCTCCCCTCATGCCGCCCCGGGGCCCGGCCCGGCCCGCTCCTCTGGGGGTCCCCGCTCCGCGCGCCCTCCACCCCTCAGTGCCCGCCACCCACGCGGGGAGCCGCAGGGCCCGTCTGCAGCCCGTGAGCCCCGGGGCCGCTGGGGAAGCCCGCGGTGTGCGCTTGGGCCGGGGCCCCGCTGGCGGGGGCTGTCCCATAAGGGCAGCGGCGGCCTCGGCGTGTTGCCGCTCAGTGTGGCGGCCCTGGTGACATCAGCAGGGCGCACGGGGCTTTGGCTGTGGGACGGCTCAGGCTCGCCTGTAGCCGGCGGCTGTTCTGTATCAGTGTGTGTGAGCGTGCAGCCCTTGTGCTGCTGCTGGGCCATGGTGCTACCCGCTTGGAACAGCGGGTATCTGATCTGCCTACTCACCCCTGGCAGCGGGAGTGCCTACCTGTGAGAGATCAAACCGGCTCCAGTCGCGTTCCAGCACCGTCCAAGTCCCCCTCCACCAGAGCTCCCGCAAAAAACGGGGCTCGAAAAACACGGCTCCTGCCTCTTGTCCCTGTTGTCACACAAGGATGACAGAGTAAAAGCAGCTCAAATTCTTTGGGGACAAAATGTATTTGTGGCTCCATAGCTGAAACAGATGAATCTTTGCATCAGGAGTTTTTCAGAATTTGTTTCCCCACGTGGAAAAGTTTATCCAGATCTATAAAGGTTAAGCATACTAACAAGGATGGAAGGCTTTTGAATGGAACCAGTTTTGAGTAACTGTAAGAGCTGCTGCTTCCAGGCTCATTTATCACTGGTTGTTCTGCCCTGGAAGACTCTGCCACTCTTTTTTTGCTCCTGAAAAGCGATTATCAGGCCTTTTTTCTTTTTTTTTTTTTCTTTTTTTTTTTGATTGTACAGTATTAGTGGACTTTACTAGTTCACAGTTTTATGTAGCGTTTCCAAGATTTGGGAAGAAGCATTTCAAAATAAGCATGTTCAATTTTTTTGTGGTGGGAGGGCAATGAATAATTATATTTTATTGAATTTATCTAGGGGGGAGAGATCTCTCGTATGGAGAAGGTATTTTTTTCTCTCATACTTTCTTTTTCAATCTTTCTGACTTTCTATAGCTTTTGCAGAGTGCAGTGCAGCTATTTCTGTGTATATCAGTTCCTTGCCTTTCAAAGCAAACTTTAGGGAAAAGACAATGCTTTAATGTGAATGAGGAAACATAAGAGATGAAAATCAATTGTATTTAAGCTTATCCTGCAGTCTTCCTTCCCTCCCCCCCGATCCTCATTGCTTTACTGGTTTACTGTTTCACTGGGATGGTGGGTGCACTTTCTTTTAGGCAGCACAGAGGAACTCCTCAGACTCCCTAAATCTCATCTCAGGAACTGACTGCAGGGCTAGGAAGTGTCTTACCAGATATGCTTGCTCCCCCAGGTGTCCAGAAGCGGCCCTCGAAGTCTTGTATTTTTTTTCACTTGAGACTTGTTTTGTGATGGAAACGGTGTTGAAGTCTCCCTGTGATGAACAGCACCCTCAGCAGGCTGAAGACTTCCGCGGGAATCTTGAGCAGAACAGCAAGCTTTCAGGTATGTGCTGAAACAGGGATTGTGAACATTGCATTTTGTTGCTGATATGCTGCTTCATCACTTAGGGAAATTTCAGTATTGATTATAAGCCTGTCTGTATACGATTTTGCTAAACCTACTATTAATATATTACAGAACATGTTATTATAAGAGGATACCAGAATGAAAAAAAGGCAGCCCTTGAGAATAAAACTGACCAGACAAGTGCACAAACCCAGTATTTTGCCTTTTAACCTATAATCACCAGCCTTATGCTTCAATAGATATGTTTATGTCTATAAAAACACTCTTCTTGTTTTTCTTGTAGAAGTTGAACTAAGAACTGAAAGAGGTTTTGTTGGTTGTTTCTGAGTCTCTTTGTGTACCTGAGTCTCCACTTTCTGTACAATGCTTGCTCAGGAAACCCTGATGGTCAGCCAGTTCACAGATATAATGGCTTCTGAGTTTTTAAAAATACATAATCCTCTCTTAGGCTCCTGCACATCCATGCCTAGACTGACGCTGAACAGTGTTTGTATTGCTTTGCAAATAGGAGAAGAAATCACTTTAAAATCTGGTCATAGAAAATGCTGGCTAATATTATTAATATTTCTCTGATGGCACAATGACTTTATGTTCTCTGTACCCAGCTGAGGATTCAGGACCCCAGAACAGACCAGGTAATGTTTACACTGCTGTCCTTCAACAAGGACAATCACTGACTTTTTCCAGCACTTCCCTCTTTCACACAAACCAGCTCTGTTGAGCTCCTAAATGCTGCCAGTGCCTTGAGTAGGCACTGCAGCCTCTGTCACCCTGCTTGAAGTGGTCTGACAGCTTTAACTTTCTCCAGGGAGGAATCTGAATTCAGTGTTGGACAAAATGAGTATCTGGCAGCTTCTAAAGCAGTTGTTGAGTTAGTTCTCCGTGGTTGTTAGGATATATTAGGATTTTTTCATTCCTGAAATATTTCACAAAATGTCTTAAAACAATTTGAAGAAGCAGAGAGAACAACATAAAGGGAAAAAAAGGAATGTAAATGGGTAGTTAAGTGAGGCAGCAGGTTTCAGTTCTCAGAAGCATTTTTAGTACGTTAGTTTTTATAAAATCTTGAAATAAAAAAAATTAAATTGAAAGTTAACTATGACTTGAATTACTAGCTGATTTATTGGGTTTTTAGCAGGAAGAAAGTGTTCTTCAGGCAGTTTTTTTTGTTTAAAGTAAGCTACATAGAAGGCTAGGGATACATGCTAATCCATGTTTTGATTCCAGCATATCTGTGATTTAAAAAAAAAAATCTTATTGCTTATGATTTACTGCCCTGGTAAAACATGGTCCATTTTTACATATATAATACATTACAATTTATCTGTTTATGCTAAATTTAATCTGTTATTTATTTTTAGGATGAAAAATGTATACACATTTGATTGACTTATCACAAATACCTTTTTGTGCTTAGTTCTGTATACTAAAATATTCTTTACCCCTGGCTTCACAGAAATTAGTCACAGCTTCTACATAGTTTATAGCTTCAAAAGAAGTGAATTCTTCTGTGGGGTACAGAAAAGGCTTGAACAACAAGGATTTGTAAACTGAATGGAAAACTACATAATTTTTTTGAAATAATACATCCTAGTCGTGCCATCTAGTGATTACAGCATGAAGTGCAGCAGCCAAAACACAGAGCAAACATGGGCTTTGGTGCCAACTATTTTAACTAACAGTGGGAAAGATGGCATTACCAATTTTTAAAATATCTAAAAAATACTGCTTTTTCTGCATTTGTGATTTGCATATGATGGATTTACACTTGTGCTACAGAATCAACTGTTATAGTCTTGCCTTTTGTCAGTTGCCCTTGCAAATCCTATGTAAACATTTAGTGATGAGCTGTAGGTGTCCTACGAACCAGGCAGCTTTTGCCCTCTCAGAGTCTGCTGTCAGATAAGTAAAAATGTTTAAATGCTGCAGCTAAGAAAGAAGTGTGATGAAGAACAGCAATACCAAGTGTCCACATGGTAATGTCAACAGGATGGAAAACCTTTGTGCTGTTTTTTCCTGTGTATGTGAGTCCACAGTCCTATGAAATGTAATTTGTGATCTCCAAAATAGATCAGATATTGAACCAAGTAATAAAATTCCTAACTTATTTTCCCCATTCTTCCCACAGCAGGAGTAAAAAAAGATATTGAAAAACTTTATGAAGCAGTGCCACAGCTTGTAAATGTGTTTAAAATAAAGGAAAAAATTGGGGAAGGTAAATGTTTCATTTTATCTTGCTTAGAGTTAAGATTTCTTTTGGCATTTCTAACTTAAAAAGTGTAAATCTAAAATCCTAATATACACAATTTAAGCCATATGCCTTTTTTGACTTATTACATGGTCTCTAGGAATTCCAATATGTTTCTGAGCACATAGGTGTATTAAATTAATTAGCAACACTTTCAAGATACTTTCTTGAAAATCTGGTTTATTAAAGCCTTGCTAAAAAAACAGCATTCCAATTTTGGCAATCAAAAATTGTTGATGTAGTTTCAAGTAAATAGTCTTAAAAATCCATTCATTTTCTCCCTTACATGAGAAATCTACTTACATGTAGCTGTGTTCTGAAATAGTTAATTGGTGATCCTTAAGTTAGCTTTGTTTCCACTACAATCTCTTGGGCAGAAGTAGATAAGGAAACTGAAAGGTTGGAGCTGCTTTACTTAAAAAATGAACAGCTTTGTATTTTTGAAGATTATGGTATCAAATTTTAGAATGCTTGTGTTCCCATTGCCTTCAACAAGACAGTACTGCAAATACCTTAAATTAGTGTCAGGCATGACTATAAATAGATTCAGGTACTTCTGAGTGTGGTACTTCAGCACTTTTTTAGATGCTTAAAAGTTTTTATTTGAAAAACCAACAAACTACTTAAAAACCCCCAGCTCCATTCCCCACAGGAATGTAAAATTTAAAAAAGCCCCAGATTTTTACCTATCATAAAAAAGATAGTGTAATTAAACAAAATTTCTGGTTATGAATAATACTGTGATTTTACTCTTGAGAGCAAACAGTATTTTTTAAAAATACCATTTGCAGTACAACAGCATTATGAGAAAACAAGCTTCAACTTAGGATTCCACTCTGGAATCACTTTCATTTCAGCAGTTCTCACCACCAAAAATAATATATTAAGTCAAATTTGGTAATCCTTGTTGCTGCAATCAATTCTGTTGAAGGTAAGGGTCTCCAGGTTTGTTTGGGATGTTTTTTTTTTTTAATGCTAGCATGAAGTATTTAGGTTTTATTTAGGTTTTGCTGGTATTTTGTTGTATGTTTGCACTCAGACTGTTGAACCAGCATGATGCAAACACATTACTTAAAATGTAATCAAAAGTAATTTCTATTCTTTATTCATATGGAAGAACACTTCAACTTGTATGTTCAGATATCTCAGATCATTAGGATCAATTAACTTCCTAAGAGGCTTATTAGGATATCCTTAAAATTAAATGGCTGGATAAGCGTATCATACAGGCTGAATACTCCCTTTCTCAAGCAAGTGTATCACCTTTGATGTGGTAAAATGCTCTGGGCAAATAAACAGTGCAGTAAGACATCATGTGGCAAGCCTTACTTTATACATAAGGTACAGAATTAAGGAAAATGTAGCAATTTCAGAAGTGCTTTGAATAGCAGTGGCAGTGCTTTCCAGATTAGCATTATATAGTCCTCTTACATTGTAGGGAGAGGAGTTAGATGTCAGATGAAAGTAAGCTACCTAAACAAGAAAGCAAATCAAAGATAGGAAATTTACATTCAAAGAGCACTGTGTCCCAGGCAAGTTAGACAGTGTTATCTTTGCATTTTTACTGACACAAAAAACTTGTATACAAGATCAGTATATTCAGTAGTTAAAGAAAGGAACTAGATTTTTATTTTCTAGAATCTGCTTTTGATGTAGTATCAAGTGTACTGCAGGATTGTGAACAGTTAGATCACTTCTGTAAAAAATCTGCATTGACCTAATTAAAAATGTTGAAGACAGTGGTTTTCTCCTTTGTTTACAGGTACTTTTAGCTCTGTGTACTTGGCCACAGCACAGCTGCAAACAGGATATGAGGAAAAAATTGCTCTGAAGCACTTGATTCCAACCAGCCACCCTCTGCGAATAGCTGCTGAACTTCAGTGCCTCACAGTGGCAGGGTAGATAAACAAAAAAAGATTATTTTCTTAACTGCTGAGTGTTGTCTCACTGTTCTGTATTTAAGTTATGATTTGTTTTTAACAACACACGTGTATATTCTTTTTGCTGAGAAAAAATAACAAAATTAGTGTTTTACCTGTAATGGATGCCCTTTGCTGCTACTCTCAGTTTGGAGGGGTGCTCTGTTTACCAGCTGAGAAATTCCATTATCTGTCTTTGTGGTAACAAAGTTCCAGTTCTGAAATGCTTGGAAAAAAGAATCACTTCATTAGAAATGTGATTTAGGAATGGATACTTGTTGGCAGAGTGTGCTGATTAGCACTTTTCATGAAAGTTAGGGCCTATAATAATTGCAGTGGTAACTACAAACCACAGCCCCACAGATAAATCTGTAGATTTCTGTTCAAAACTGCAGAATGGAACATAAAATGGAGTTCAAATGGAACATAGCAGTTCCATAGAGCAACAAGAGCACAAGTACTGATCGCTGATAGGACTGCTGTCAAAATATAAGTTAGGATTATAAAAGAAAGCCTGACTGAGGCTTATATTTTGAAGAAATAAAGGAAAATAAACATCCATCTTCTGGTCTTTGTTCAGTAATATTGCTTTTCTTCTAGGGGACAAGATAATGTTATGGGAGTTAAATACTGCTTTAGGAAAAATGATCACGTTGTTATTGTTATGCCGTATCTGGAGCATGAATCCTTCTTGGTGAGTCTCAGACTTTTGATATGGAGCAAAACATTTAATTAAAAGCAGATACATAATTATTCTATAATTATTCTATGAGTCTTTAAATTACAGTATCCAAATATTCTTTCAGGACATTTTGAGTTCCCTTTCCTTTGAAGAAGTGAGGGAATACATGTTTAATCTGTTTAAAGCGTTGAGGCGCATTCATCACTTCGGTATTGTTCACCGTGACGTCAAGCCCAGCAACTTCCTCTACAACAGGCAGCTAAAAAAGTGAGTCTGGCCATACTGTGATCTCATCTGGAGATGTGTGCCGTGGCAGAACAGAGTCAATTAAGCATTCAGGCTTCTTTCCTTCCAGTTCCATAACATGTGCTTAAATGATAAAGCTAAAAACATGGTGTTTTATTTGTAACATTTTTCTTTCACTATTAAGGGACTTAAGAAGGCAAGGATTTTTTTTACTTAATGTAGTATCTACTTAATGGAGTGACGACTACCTGATAAAATGAGGATTTTACTACTGAGTAAAAGTACTACATTTTCAAATAAGAATGAGAAGAATAAAATATGGGGTTTTTTTAAATAAGAAAGTTAATTGTAACTTTCTATGCATTGTGGTGCATAGAATGATCCTTGTGCATTTTTAATAGCGGATGGAGTAAAACCAATACAGGTAAGATAGCTGGCTTTGGGCTGTTTTCACCTTACATTGAATTAACGTTTATAACTAGTAAGGTTGGCTCTTTTGCCTGCAAGTTACGAAGTTTAAAGACTGTAAAAAGTGAGGTACTGCTTCTTTGTGAAGAACTGAAATTGACAGAATGCTTCAGTGCAAGCAGTCCTATAGCTGTATTTCTTAGCATTGTGCTTGTAAAGTTGAGACACTGAGATGTTGGAGTGTGTCCAAAGCAAAGCACTGCGAGGAGGTTGTAGTAGGATGCACATTCCCAAGTAAAAATCATTGTATGAAACAGCCTCAAGTTGCACCAGGGAAGGTTTAGGTTCATTATTAGAAAAAAGTTTATCAAGCATTGGAATGGGCTGCCCAGGGAAGTGGTTGAGTCACCATCCCTGGAGGAATTTAAAAGACCTGTAGATCCAGCACTTAGGGACATGGTTTTGTGGGACTTGGCAGAGTGGGGTTAACAGTTGGACTTGATTTTAAAGGTCTTTTCCAGCCTAAATGTTTCTATTATTCTATGTGGTGAAAGTTTATAGGGGAGATTTGATTGCATTTTGCCAAACCACAAGCTTAAAAGTTTGAGAAATACTGTTTTGGATTTTTTTTAAGCTGTCAAAATGAGCATGTACTGTCATTTTCTCTTACAGAGTTTTTTGGAGCCTTAATCTCTACTTTGTGCATACAGGTGTGGAGTTGAGTTTGAGACCCAGGGACAGATGGATTATTTTTGTACTGGTTGTAGCAAAAAAGAATTCTTTTACAGACAAATCTGAAGTGTGAACCAATGTAGTCTTACCTGTTTGAAGGCTAAAGTAAATTCCAGTAGTATTTGACAGAATCTGTCAAAACTTTAAGCACTGTTGGTCTGGTTTGGCTTCACTACTACCTTTGTCCTCTGCCTATGGGAATCCTGCAAGAGTCGAGTCTCTTGTACATTACTGCTGGCTGAAGGTTCAGGGCTGTAGGATTAGAAGAACTTCAGAAAGAAGTTGCTGGAAATATATTTCTTAACACCTTTGGAGGAAGGATGCACTTGATAAGATTTTGGGACAAGAAACAATGAACAATGGTGTAGGGTGAAAACATTGAGGAGATAGGTAAGATGGGTCAGTAGGAAGAGAAGGAAGAAAATAGGACTCTGATGCTGGCAACAGTACAGATAAGCAACACTGAATGAAATGTGAAAGAATGATAAATAAGTAATGAATAGTAAATAGAATGACTAATCGATATTTTGTGACTCCTGATTCTGAATTTGTCTTTTCAGGTATGCCTTGGTAGATTTTGGCTTGGCACAAGGAACCCCTGATACGAAAATTGAGCTTCTTAAAACTGCCCACTCTGAAGACCAGCAGGGAAGTTGCTTGCAAACTAATCCCATTGTAACCTCGGGAAATGGGGTTTCTGTCAGTGTCACAGCACCTAAACAGATAGCTCAACAGACAGCCTCAAAAGCAGCTGATAGAAGGTCCAGCTCGCTTTCAAAAGTACAGATGAAACAAGGAAGAGGAGGAAAGGTTCTCGGTCTCTTTCATTAACGTTTTTGTATATGTTTAATGTGTTCCTTCATCCAACAGGGGGAGATGCAGTACTTGCACAGAAGCTGAGCCTGCAAAGAAGCACACTGTTCATGTCTAAGGAGCTGCTTCTACATAACTATTGGCTTCATCATTATCTGTTAGATGTAATACAATGCTGAAGGCTGTATAAACCCTAACATGAGTTACTATTTAGGCAGCCTTCAATCCTGTTTGAGAGACATGGATGGGGAAACTCCTCCCCAAGCCAATAATCATTCACCTATGTTTAGTTACTAGTTGCGTAACAAGTGCAGTACAGACTACACTTGGATTGTCTTGGGGCACTTCAGGGGTGTAACTGGTTATGTTTGCTGTTCTGTCTAGACCATGTTTCTTCATCCACACTAACCTGATGCCTGAAAATTACTTACGTGCAATTGTTCTTGTTTTATGACACTCCACACTTAGTTTTGAACTGTCATTGCCCAGATGCCTGTTAAACAGAATCCTTATTGTCCTTTTTGTTGGTCTTGTAGGAGGACTCTGTGCACCATTCTGTGCAGCGCTCTGTCTTTGGAGAGAGGAATTTCAATGTCTATAGCTCCACATACCAGGAGAATTCAAGCACAAAAGTAAGACGCATTGACTCAACAGTAGGAGCAATCTGCTACATATTTGAAAAAGTATAGAACTGGTTCTGTAAGACTGAGTACTGCTCCAGAACGCTGTGAAACTAAAAGGTTTTGAGCAGACTATTAAATGTGTCTTTCCTGAAAGGCTCAAAGAATTTTTAATTTCTGTTTCAGTCCCTTTTGAAACTCTTAAGCAAGGAGTTCTGTAGCTGTCTCCCTAGCTGATCTTGTTTGGGTGCTAAGTTAATGTTTTTTTCCTATACATCTATCTGTGCAGCTAATCATAGGATCACAAAATAAAGTGAGTTGGAAGGGACCCATGAGGATCATTGAGTCCAACTCCTGGCCTTGCACAGGACACCCCAAGAGCTATACTGTGTGCCTGAGAGCATTGTCCAAACACTTCTTGAGTTCTGTCAGGCTGGTGCTGTGAGCACTGCCCTGGGGAGCCTGTTCCTGTGCTAAACCACTCCCTACTTACCTCGTGAAATTTTTAAAAATTTATTTTGCAGTTGAAGCTGAGGATAAACCTTGTAACTATTTTTTTGTAATTAATATTTAATATGACAAGGGAGAAACCCCAACTAAATAGAGGGTTTGGTTTATGGTATTTTATTGTAGAACTGGAGTAGTGTCTGTGTGTTGCTGTGTCATTTCATATTCTTTTCTTCTTATTCTCATGTTGAGCCAAAAAAAAGTCTTGAAACACTATACTAGCTTGAAAAATATTTGTCTTGTAGCTTCAGAATATCTAATATATATTGTTTTTTTGGTAAACACTGAAAATGTCTTCTGAAGGGGAGGAAGTCAGGCTATCTAGAAATTCCAATGTCTGTTTTATAGTAGTTTTGATACTGTTAAAAAGGTTTGCTGTCTGTTCTAAAATTCTTGTTCACCAACACCCATTAAGTCAGTATTTTAGGAACTGTCCTACCGATATGTAAAGGGAAACTTCTTAAATATGTCACCTTCTCTAAAATATCTCCATTGCAGCTCATAAAGCAACCAAAGATGATAGATGTTTCATCTAGGAAGTTAGTAACAAAGAAGAAGATTATTTCTACCAAAACTGTGAGCAATGGGGCAGCCAGGAAAGCTGCCAGTGGTTGCCCTTTAAACGTGCACTGTGACTGTTATGCAACGGACAGAGTTTGCAGTGTTTGCCTTTCAAGGTAATTTGCTTTGATAATGTTGTAAAATTGTCTGCTCTGCTGTCAAGCAAAGTCAGAAACTTAGATTTACTAGACTGCTGATTTAGTAAGTGAAAGATAGTATTTAATCGCTGCAGCCCTTAAAACACTGAGTGTGCTCTTTTTAGACAAAAATGGTTCATGGAATTCATGGATTTGTTCACTGATATCTGCAGCTAGAAAGATTCACTGGTAATTATTTTCTTGTTGTTGTTATTTACCTACATGTGTTGTAGAAAATCACTTGAGTTGATTACAACACTTAGAAAAGTGTTTTAAATTCTGTCATTTAGTAGTTATCTAATAGGCCTAAATTACAGCAACAGTTAGGATTCTGGAAATAATGAAATGTAGAATAAAAAGGAAGCATGACTGCTTTGTATTTGCTCATCTAAGAAACTAAGAGAATCACAGAATGGTTTGGGTTGGAAGGAACCTTAAAGGTCACCTTTTTCCAAACCCCCTGCCATGGGCAGGGGCAACTCCCACTAGACCAGGTTGCTCCAAGCCACATCCTACCCGGCCTTGAGCACTGCCATGGATGGGCTTCCACAGCTTCTCTGGGCAACCTGTTCCAGTGCCTCATGTTGGAGAATCTTAGGAGCCGAGTTAAACTCCACCCTCTGCAGGTAGTTTTGGTTATGATCTACTATTGCCTTTTATCCACACATGATCTTTTAAATAATGATAACCTCATACCTTTTAGTTATTCTAACAAAAAGTAAATTCTTGGCAACACTCAGAGCAACCCTTAGTTTGCTCTGCACTAACACAAAGCCATAGCATCCACATTCAAGAATCTCATATACTTTTTGCCTTGGGTTAATTAGCCTCAACTTCAAAGTTTCCCATGAAAACAAGCCTTTAACAAAAATGACACTTCTGTTAGATGAAACTAAGAAAAGGTGATTGTGAATTAAGTATGCAGTAAGTATTTTTCTGGTATTATCTTATGCTAGATAATATAATTAAAATATTATAGAATAGATAATAAGGTTATTACATGTGTATCTTATGATTTCATGCTAGATAAGATGCTTCAAACCTCTGTAAAACTTGCATAAATCAGGGTTAGGTTGTTTACACATCTTACACAAGTGTATTCTAAAAATAACAATAAGTATTATTAGATCTAGAACTTCCATACCAACGTTTATATTCTAAATATACTATTTGTCTCTTATTACAAGGCGTCAGCAAGTGGCTCCCAGGGCAGGAACACCTGGATTCAGAGCACCAGAAGTATTAACAAAGTGCCCCACTCAGACCACAGGTACTGCCCAACAGATGCAAACAAATGGCTTTTTTCACCTTTTCATCCTTCTCATTTATGCATATTTTGTTGTCTTTTTTACGTGAGGATTTTTTTAACTTTTAAAATTCATTTTTCATCCTTTCTAATGCTTTTCAAGTATTTCCTGATTTTAATTCAAAGTTTATTACTCAGAGGAAGAACAATTCAGGAATATTGTTCCTGTGTTTGAAACTTGAATATGTCTTTATTAATTTGAGAGGTAGTGCCATGTGCAGGAGTTGAATACAATATATTTTAAAAGACAAAATAACTTTTTATGAAGTTTCTTGGCTTATTTGTTCAAGAAAAATCTTGAATAAATCTTGGGGAGAGGGAACATTGTTTAGCCTTTTCTAGGCAAGTTGCAACATATGCTGCCATAGCAGGCATAATTAATGATGTAATTGCAAATGTGTTCTAGAAAGCATTATTTAATGACTTTTTATCATATTTTTATTTTTTGCTAGTGGTTTAAGTAGCTGATATGTAAATGTCATCATTTTTTGAACTAAAATTTTAATTTCCCTGTGTTAAAATTTAGTTAATAAGATTCAGTGGTTTGGGTAAATACTGGGTAAGGGCAGAGGGATGTTTAATGCATTACCTGGTGCAAGAAAGGTGGGAGAGGTTGTGCCTACCTGCAGGATGGAGAACCAATAGAAGCAAAGTTACCCATTAAATATTTGGTGTATGGCCAGGAGTTCTGACTTACAAAAAAATACACATAGCCTCAAAAACTGGATTTAAAATATAAGGTTTTAGCCTTTTTTTTTTTTTAATGGCTTTTTAGAAAGTTGTCAATTTTCAGTAGAGTATGTAAACACACTCAGAATTAACAATATACTTGATCAGCTTATGCCTAGATAGCTTACTCCTGTTTGAAACAACATGTGTGCTGTGGGTATGACTGGGATTCCAAAGGTATGGCAGCTTGTTTGGAGTTCTTGTGCCTCTGCTGTAACAGCCAGCTTTATAGGCTAGCAGTCATCCAGAAATCTAGGATAAGTTTAGACAATCTCTGAATCTGTCTAGACAGAACTGAGGCAGAAAGAAGACATACCTAGGAAATCTTGGACACGTGCTGGTGTTAAGCACGCTTTCAGATGGTTCTGTTCTCTAGGGTAATGAGATTGAGGCAGAAAGTAGGGGTAAATCTAGACACCCTTGGGTGTGGTACAGACATCCCTGGACTGAGTCAGTGGTGCTGAGCTCCTGCAGTATATCAAAAAAGGCCTTAATTAGAACTGGGTACACTAACACTAATTTTTAGGATACCATGTTTTATTTGAGCTAGCGAGTATTACTGTCAACTTTCATTTGGGGCTGCTGGAGTCACCTCCTTGTACTCCTGCCACTCTTAATCCTGGTTTTGGCCTCTGTGCTGGCTGTTATTGGCTGAATCCAGCTGACTCTACCCAGAGCTACCATAGCACATCTGACCCAGGTTCACAGTGCTGGGACTACAACCTAAACACCCAAGTTGAGGCTACATAGGTCCAGTTACACTTTCCCTGGGTTTGTCCCTCTGTTGTCCTTTCCTCACTAGCTGGATAACACTAGACAAAAGCATAGGGAGGAATCATGATTTGGATGTCATTCCACAAGATCTTGTGCTCTGCTGATGATCACAGCTCTTCCACAATTGTAGGGCCAGGATTTACTGCCCACTCAGATGGATAAAGACTCCTAATTTCAGCAAGAGTTACACAATTAAACCTTTACAAAGGTCTTGACCTTGATTATTCCAGCTTACCCAACCACATCCTCAGGGAGATGCATGGCCCCTCAAAGAGATAGTATTACTGTTTCACTGTTGGAAAGATGATACTAAAACTTTTTTACAGGAACTGTGCAAAATGCTGAAAACCTTTCCACTGTAAATTGTGCCAAATGATTAACTTGGATTTTTATTTTTTAATAAGACATAAAATCTGGTTTTGCAACTAAAGTCAACCAAATACCTTTTTCCCAAATTGAAGTCCTTTGCTGAGTGTTTCTAATTAAACATCCAAATTAATTACTGCCTATTTTGCTACTTACTTTTTTCAATAGGACTAGGATGAATATGCCTCTATTTCCCAACTGTTAATTTTTCTTCCTGGAATTTGAGATCCTTCAAACTCTCTCCTTCACTTTCCTTGCCGTCGCTTAAAATGTGCACCTTAGTGAGCCAAAAAAATTATGGCAGACAGGTGTTCTTGTAACTTCCAATACTGAAATTTCCATCAGGCTTTGGCCTCTATCCCCAGAGTACTCTCTGTACTCTTCGTAACACAATGAAAGTGATAAATAACTTTGAACTATTATGGTTTTTAAACTGCCTATCTTGTCAAGTGAGTTCATATTAGGGAAGAACAAAGTTCATAATAAGATAAATTTCTTAGTACTGCCTACCTGTGTCAGCTTCAATTCCTAAAAAATTGTTTCACAAACATTTGTGAGTTGTTTTTTTATTTATAACCCTTATATAGGGGGGGTCATAAACCTTATATAAGGTTTTCTTCATAGGAAGTAAAGTTAAATATATATCAAACCAGCCATTTCATTTGCCCCCTCTCATCTTCCCAGGTAAAACAACTTCAAACATTGTTTTGGTTCACTAAGTTTAGTAAGTTAATGGAATTACTCCTATGAAAAAACTCCCTCTGCACTGAAGTAGGAAATTATTCTTCAATCTAATTACAGACATTTCCACTCTTATCTGAAGTATTATCTATGTGATCAAAGTCAAGAAGTACTTCAGAACATAACTTTTACTGATAGAAACTTTTCAGATCATAATTTATTTTTAAAGTTGAGGTTTTGTTTGTGATGAAATTATGAGTTTAGTTGTTAATAAATTTGCTTTCCTTTCAGCAATAGACATGTGGTCTGCAGGAATCATATTCCTTTCTCTGCTCAGTGGACGGTATCCATTTTTCAAAGCAAGTGATGATTTAACTGCTCTGGCACAAATTATGACAGTTCGTGGATCCAGAGAAACCATTCAGGCTGCTAGAACTTTTGGTATGCAAGCCTTAGTTATGGGGGAAGGGGGGAAATGTTACTTAATACTGTGATTTATAATCAAAATTTTTTTGTGTAAATAAATATATTTTTAGGTTAGAGAGTAATTTTGGAAGTAAATCACATTTTTTGAAGTCTATATTGACAGACTTTTAAGACAGTTTTGTGTTTTTCTGTATTTTACAATGCATGTATGGGGTACTTTATCATAGTTTTCCCAACCTGTCTACTGCCTTTCACTAAGTCAGGGCTACTTGAGGTGAAGTATGCCAACGAAATGTTTCTTACTGGCATTTGGTTAGAATTCTTGAGACAGTGTTTCTATTTCTACAAAATTTGGCCTGGAGGCTTAAGTCAATGTGACTTAAAATTTAGGTGATGTAAACCTTGCTTTTGCCCCCACCCCTTCTCCCAAAAGGCCTAGTAACACAAACAAACAAGCTAAAAACCCAATACCCAACAGCTGGCCTGTTTAAAAAAGACACAATCACCACAAAACACAAAATATTCAAAAACCTTTCCCCTAATTGATTGCAACTAAATGCTGCAGCACTTGTAACTGCCAGCATCAATTTTCATTCTCCAGAGAGAGATGTAAAAATCAGGGTATTTAGCTGTCTTCAGTTCTGTTAAAATGACAGTGAAATGCAAAAGCTGGTGTACAGTGTGGCTGACAACCTGTCACCTCACATAGCCCAGAGCTCTTTGTTCTGAGCAGAACTGAGATGATGATGACCCCTTCTGACTTTCAGGGGCTGCTTCTGTAACAGCAGGGCTGGTGTGGAGGCGTGGGAGGCTGGATTTGGTTCTTTGATAGATTTGGGATTTTTCTTTCATGCTGGTTATAATTTGAGACATGAAGTTTGTCTGAAACAAAAGTTACAGTTGCATAGAAAGTATAATAAAATGTGTCTTCCTGTACAATTTTTTTCCCTAGGAAAATCAGTTGTGTGTACCCAAGTTGTCCCAGCTCAAAACCTACGAACCCTCTGTGAAAAGCTGAGAGGAACAAATAGCAGCTGTAAGAGATCTCAGGGGGAAGGGCCCGGCAGGTCTGACAACAACACAGCTTTGTCAGTTGCAGCAGACAAACCTTGTGCTCCTGAGACACTTGGAAAACAAATTCAACACTTACAGAATGTTCAGGAAAGTGACGGTGCTTTGGATATCAAGGCAGCTGACATGAAAGGATGGGATCAGGTTCCTGATGAAGCATATGACCTACTTGATAAGCTACTAGACTTAAACCCTGCAACAAGAATAACTGCAAAAGAGGCTTTGCTGCATCCTTTTTTTAAAGACATAAGGCTCTGAGAAGATAACTTACTTTGTTATTCCTCTTAGATGTTTTGTGTGGAAATGAAATACTGAGGCAGTTTTACCTCGTTGCCCTCAACATTTACACTCATTGAAATAACGTCACACTGTGCTCTGAACTACTGAAATTTTGTCTTGTACAGTTAGACTGCAAATGTCAGTTTAAGAAATACTTGCAGATGCAAAAGTTACATAAACATCACTAACATGGTCTTATCCTAAGACACTTCTGAGAGGTTATTGCTGTGCATACCTGTTCTCTAAGAAAGTTAACTTTGATCAAAAACAACAAAGAAAAAAGAGTTTCAAAAGCTCTATGCTTAATTCTTGAGGTATTCCCTTAAAATTTACAAGTTTGCCTTAAGGTAAGACTGAAATAAGACTATTTTCAGAGAACAATATTACTTTGGGAGCGTTGCTAGAGGAAAGGCCAGGTGCTGCAGATTATATCATCAAAAGAAAAGCATAACTTTTAAAAGTACATTTTTGTTCCTGTCTGGCCTTTGCTACTTAGGAAATAGTAATAAATGCAGTTACTCATTTTACATGTGTCCTCAGTGCCATGGGTAACTGTCAATATTCCACAGCTGCTGCCTTCAAGGATGTCTTGAGTGCCAGGCATAGGTTTGATTTCTGTTATGGAAACTGATTTCTTAAAAAATACCTGTTCAATAAATGATTTGGTTTTATAACTTCAGAAGCTTGTCTAGAGATGTTTCTCTAACAGTCAGGTAAAGTTTTCCTGTGGGATGTTTCTGTTCAGGGAGTCTTCCACATTGATTTCATGCATAAATTCCTCAGTAGTAGGAGACACTTTGGATCGCTCTAGTTGTATGGCTGTTATAGTGGAACTATCCTAATCATCATGGAACTCTTACCACAGAGTTAGTTGGCTATTGTCTGGTCCTAAGGAGGAAAATCCCATATGTGCAAAGTAAGCTACATCATGTTCAACAGAAGTTTCTCTAAACCTCTTGATGATTCTGGAGACTGAAACATAATACAGTGTTTTTCCATGTATGTTTCTTGAGATGCTGATGGAATTGCTGTAGGAGGTTCTGGCCCATTCTGAGAAAAGGTTGCTACTTCGAAAATTCTTGCAAAAAGCTTCTCATGTGAGCTGATAGTTATGATAGTACAAAGATCCTGACCAGGACTGGGGCTGAAGAGACAAGATTTCAATATTTTTGAAATCCTGAATACATACAAAATAATGGTAATGTTGCTCTGTTTCTGGCATCAGCTGTTGGGGAAAAATATTTTCAGATGTCAGAATATTGATTGCAGAAAATCTTGAAACCCTCAAGACCCTGGGGCCCAGGTCTTGTAATTTTTGCTGTTTATATAATTTCAACACAGCACGTCACTGAGAAATTATTTATCTAAAGGAACTGTGGCCAAATTTGGCAAGCAATGCTGTCTGCCAGTGTCTGCAGATGTATTGTTTCCTCCTACATTCACTCATGCTGTCTGTGGTCTTATGAGAGCACCAGCTGACAACAAGCAAAAATATGTCAGCTATCTCTTTTGAGCTTTCTAAGCAACTTCAGCTCTTAAGCTTCCCTGGTAACAGCCTTCAGCAGCTCCTTCCATCAGACCCACAACAATTAACCTCTGCATTCCTTTAAAAGCCAAAAAGGAAAAGTCATTGCTAATGGTATTTTTACCAAAACACTAAGGGTAAATAAAATTTGTAAGGAACAATTCTAAGCTCTGTATATTCCATAACAAGCTGGAAAAACACATTGGTATTCCTTTTTCCAGCCAGCTATTTAAATGTGGAGAATTATTTTTTCAAGTGGAAGGATGAAGTAAAGAGTGTTTGAACTAGCATATGCTAAGGAGGTACTTTGTGCCACACTCTACAGAAGCAGAAAATAGCAAGAAAACACTAGGGCTGAGCAGTGGTTGCCACTGGATTTTCTCTCTCTGCTGTGTTTTTAAGGATCTCTAAAAACCATAGGTAAGAGCCAAGTACTAAGATTCCTTTAAAGTTCAAATACATGATTTGAGATATTAATAAACTGCACTTGAATCTTGTACCATGAGAGCTGCAATTAGACAAAATTCTGCACGGAAATTACATTGTTTCAGTGAATGTTCAGTGGCTGTGAGGCCACAGCTGGGTTAGTGTTAAGTTCTGGACACCATCTATGACAAGGTTAGTAACAAACTGGGCAGAAACCAAAACGGCAGCAAAAAGCTGCAAGGGCTTGGAGACATGAATAAAAACTGATACCTAGAATTCTGAGAACAGACTGCTGGGAGCAAATCTAAATACATAGGGAAGACTAGCTTATCCTCAGTACCAAGCCAGACTAGGTGAGGAAACTGTGACACTTTTAGTATGTTCATCCTAGTTGAAAAGGACAACAAATGCATACTTGTTTTTATTTTCCTAGCTAGCACCTTTCTGGCCATTACATTCTACTAGTGAGCAAAACACAAAGAAAAAAATCTTTAGAGCTTGCCTCATATTTGTTGGTGATGAAGATGTTCTGAATGAGGTGATATAAATAAAGTCTTTGTACTCAGCAGGGAACACCTGAATTTTTTCTGCCTCATGAAGGCAGATCACACAAGGCAACATAAGTAAAAGAAAATAACCCAACAAGCCAGTTTTCTCTTGTTTGCTCAGTTTTACACCACATTTAAAAGACAGCTTGGCTGTGTAGGGAAAATGACTAACCATTCAAATCACTTAATAGAACAACAGCATTTTAAAGGAAATTAGTACTTTACAGCTTGATGAATTCCTAATCTATAATGAAACTATGCAGCTCAGGTGGTAGACTTATAGCAAGGACTGGTCTCTTGAGACATTACTGAAGCAATGCTCTTCCCGCAGCACAATTGTAAATGTTTTTTTGGTTGGGTGTTTCTAATGTTTAATTTTTTTAGAGGACATAGTAAATTATTCTACTAACGTAGCCACAGCATGTTCACTTCTGAATTTGCTTGTAGCTTATCCAGAAAACAGAACATGTCCCAGGTCAGTGGCAGTACATACATGGTTCATACCCCTCTCTGCTGCTGCTTTCCTGCCTGGCCAGTTCAAGGGGTAGTAAATATTTAAATTGGCAGCCTGCACACAGTGGGTGGAAACTGGATAGTCCCTTTGATCATATGCTTACAAAGGCCAGCATATAGAGTTTTGTTTCCCTGGTAACAAAGTTCTGGTACTGCTGAGCTGAGGGTCCAGTAAATTGGATATTTTGCATCAGCATAACCTAAATAATCAAGGGTTTTTAAATATGCCTGTTGTATTCTCAATTCTGCCTCTCCATGACTCAATCCTTTTTACTTTCATGTCCACTGACTGCTAGAATTATCCCTATACAATGATTCATTGTATCATGTTAAAAACTAACCACTATATGCATTCCTGAGTATCCCCAGGGTATTGTTTATTCCATTTATGGAAAGACTCGCATCTTCCTGTGGGGATATGGCAGGGAAGAGAGTGGTTCTGTTACATGTTATTTGGTTTCTTGCATAAAGTTCTTCCACAGTTTTCAGAAGAGTCAGATTTTAATCTAATACCTAATTAAACATCTGTTTCAAAAATTCTAGTGCTAAAAGTGTTTTGCATAAGATATTAATTTGATCCCTGTCTTTTATATGGAATAAACAAACTAATTGTATCAAATAATGCATAATTAGTTTTACTTCTTGATGTGATGAGATAGGGATGTAGCCCAACAACTGACATTAAAAAAAAATCAGGATCTTAGGAGGAAAGGTTAAATGATTGATATAATGATTGCCACAGGTCATGTGTAGCAGCAGGCAGATCATTGATAAAACCTCTCTCTTACTTTGCATTCCTGTTTTTTCTCACCATGTCTCCCAAAAAAATCCACTCAGGTGCACTCTGTTGGTATAAGGCATTTTGCTTTAATAATTTTTTTGCTGCTTTAAGTGTTACTGTGTATTATGTGAAAAGTACCAATTATTTCCAAGTGTCCTGGGAGTCCTCTTGAGTCCTGCTCCTGTTCCCCTGTCTGTTTAATTGTTTCAAAGAGCTCAGTTTCCTTATCCAAACCCCCCAACTCGAGCTTGGTGGTAGAGTTAAGAAATTCTAGAGTTCTGTGTCATTTCAGTTTTCTTGTCTGTAATCTTGTCTTAAAAGATCTGGGAATGCCAGTTTCAAAGAGAACTGCTGAAATTTCTACTATGTGAGTATACACCTGTCAGGAGGAAAGCACTGAGGGGAGAGTGGGTAGTGTGGATCTCAAGAGGACACAAAATGCTACAGCCAGCCTTTTTTCTTGTTCTATAAACAACTCAACATCTTTTTCCTTTACCAGATTGATATTCAGCTATAAAATGTTTTCAAACTTTCAAGAAGTTACTCCACCTTCTGATGGCCAGCCCACTTCCATGTGAGGCTCCTTCCACATCCCAGAAGTGAGGGGATTGCAATGGCTCATTTACTGCAGCAGGGACGACACACAGCATCATAGAATATCCAGAGCTGCAAGGGACCTACCAGCATCATCAACTCCAACTCCTGATCCTCCCAAAAGTCACAGCATGGGCCTGAGAGTGTTGTCCAAATGCTTCTTGAAGTCAGACATATCGAGGACCTTTTTGTTCTTTTAGTTCATTTAACGGGTTAAACTGTGGTAATTTACTATGGGCAATTCAGCCGGACACAGAGTTGTCCTGCACACAGCTTACAGCCAAGCAGTTATTGCCTGCTGGGATCCTTCATAATCTGGCATATGTTTTCCATTGCAGATCTGCTTACAACTAGTTCTGGAACTCTGCAACTTCAGTCACGTTCATTGCAGTTGCTTAATGAAAAAACAGTGTGCAGTTTGAATTTATAGGTATTTACCCCAGCTGTCTTTGTAAAACTGACAGTATTCTCAAATACTCACTTATAGGCAGCCTGTGCTGGGAGGGGAGGAAGGTCTGCGTTATTTACCTCAAACTCAGCTTTTTGTTTGCTAAAAATCAATGCTTTTATTCATTTGCTGCATTATGACTTACATGTGGTAAGTCCTCCTTCACAACAGCAAAAAGAGGACTGTAAAATCTGTGGTAAATTACTTTGGTGAAGAATACAAATATACTGGATCAACAGTGCTCCAGAACTACATTCCCTGGCCTTATTTCAGGGCTTAAAATGGAGACTTAATGTTGGGCTTTTCCTTGGAACATTTCCATGGAGATTCATCACCTACAACTTTCATAGAGCACATAAAACTGATTAATCAAGGCCTATTATTTGTAGCCATTTTGGAATCTAATGAATATGACAGGACATTACTGAGCCACTTCAGCTGATGGCTGCTGAAGTACCAAGCTCCTGCTGTCACACTGCCCATAGGAATACATACTGATTCCTGGAGATCAGAGTAAAATCTAGACAGGCAGCACTCCGCCTATGGCCTCCCCGTAAAATGTGAGGTAAAAAATTAAAATTACCAGCCCAGTTGTTTTTCATGTGGTGGCAGACCATAATCACAGTTGTGAGATGGTGTTTAGTTCTACCAAGTATTAATTATTCAAAAGAGCAATATCATCCTGCTTACAACACACTGGTTTTAACCCTGTAACATCTGTATATCAGGGCACGAAATGCTGAGACAAGCCACACATTAAATTGTAACTACAAGATCTATATGTCAGCTTCAAGTGCCTCAGTACATGTTAAGATTTGGCATGCAAACCTGAAAATTAGATTTA